TTCTATTTCTTTTATCTTGTCCTTTTTTCATTTTATTGTGTTGTGATATTTTAATTATATTGAATATGAATAAATGAAAGTAAATTTTTGTGCTTCTATTTATTTTATTAACACTTTTCAAATGACTGTTGTTTATTTCATATTAACTATTTCTATTTATTATATGATTATTCATAACTTCTATTGGAAGTTATAAATATCAAGTGTTTATCCAATATCAATTTCAGCTAAATTTCATAGTTTCTTCATGAATAATATTTGTTTGATTATCAACTTCAATTATTCTATATTTTTTTGTATGTTAAATCTTCTAATAAAACTATCTCTTTCAAAATCAGATATAATATTAATTGAATCTGCATAATACCAAGAAAAACACAAAGAATTTAAAAAAAGATTTCAAATAAACATGTCCAATATTCTTTCCATCTTCTTATAATGAATTTCAATATAAAATGAATCAAAATCATATCAAATAAATAAAAATTAGTTAATTAAGTATTAATAGAATTTTCATCTATTCTTCCTAGCTCAGGGGAGACTAATCCCATCCCTGAGCTTATTAAAAAAGAGTAATCTCTTTGTTAAACCTATTCTTTATGTTTTTCTTGCAAAATGAGGAAAGCACTTCTTTGCTTTATTTCTTCCTATTAAGGTTTTTCAAACCTCTTCTGCTTATTTCTTCTTTTTAAGCCTTTGTTTGTTTTCTGCCTTAATTTTAAGGAATTTCATTTTTCTTATTTTATGAATGGGAGAAGGAATCATTTTATTACTACTGTATTACTTTGACTAATCTTCTTTTTAGTCTTACTTTGACTAATCTTCTTTTAGTCATACCCACACTTCAGTAGATTCTTATATTACATCCATGTAATATTCTACTGTATTCTCTTGCTGCACCCTTTGCAGCATTCCCTAATACATTCCTAATTCAAAAGGACCGTCATAACCAGATAATAACTGGGAGAGTCGAAGAATGAATTTGTACTAGGGTTTATGTGTGGTGTTTCAGACGTGCCACCTTCGATCTCCAAATTCAAATAAAAAAAAAAAAAAAGAAATCAATTATGATTAACCTTATTTTTTAGGTTTTTCATCATGTTGAGAAGTGAGCGAATCAGTTTCTTCAACACGCTTTATTTCTATTGAAATAAAGTTTTTGCAAGCATGCTCGACTTAAATGGTTCCTCAATTAAGTTGCTGCCTGACTTTTATTTTGATTTTAATGAGTAATATAATATTTCTCATTCTTTATATTGTTGTTTTAAGGAGAGTATATCCATAACATACTGTTATAGCTCATCTCTTTTTACCTTCGACACCCCTTAAAGAAACACTATTCCTTGATAATATCCTTATGTTTAATTTTTGTGCAACAATATCAATTATATATGCGTCTTCTTTAATAAATGATAATTCTTAATACATAATACCTCCTTAGTAAATAATAATCCTTATAATTAATAATGAATAACAATACACGTTAATGAATAACAATGCACCTCAATGAATAACAATACACGTTAATGAATAACAATACACGTTAATGAATAATAATCTTTTATAATAATCACTTCTAATAAATATTAATAATAATAAACGGTTAGTGTTGAATAGATATTATCTCACCAAAGGCACGTCATGACCAGACGATAACTGGGAGATTCGAAGCATGGGATTATTTTAGGGTTTCATGTGGTGTCTCTGACGTGCCATCTTCGAATGGTGTTAAGTTAACTACACTAATATAAATAAAATAAATTAAACAAATGGAATTAAAGAATATACTTTATCAACACTACAGAAAAGATACTGTCTTATTGAAAAAAGATGGTGTATAAATAAATAACTCTATCCAAACTGCTACTTTATGGAAGAGAGTCTTAAAAATAACATTACAAAAGATTTCTTAATAAATACTAATTTCTATGAAATATAAATAGATGCAGAAATACCTATAAAGTAGATATTGTGTTACAACATTTTGTTAATGTTAGTATGAAATGAATGCACTGAAGAAAAATACCAATAACACTTTGTTTAAAGACAAATATATAAAGTAATTAATAAATAACTCAAAATTATAACAATAAAGAAAGTACATGATGAGAGTATCTGTGTAAATACAATAATTAAAAAAATTGATATTAAAAAGTAATAAAATGAGCAGTAAATAAATCAAATACTATTTATATAAAAATAAAATAAGTTATTGAAAAATGAACATTTCAATATAATCAATAATTGAGTTGATATATAAAATAATGAATAAAAATATTATAACAATAATATCATAAATAAGTTTTAGTAATAATGGAAAAAAAAAACAATAATAATTACTAAAATATGAAAGAAATATCTAACATTTGACTCATTTTTGTCAATGTTAAAGTGTTAATCTTTTAGTGACACTATTTTGTTCAATCTCTTATAAATAATAAATTCTTTTATTTTATCCAAGATAAATAAATGTCAATATAATTGGGTGTTTTTTTTGGAAAAAAGGTTTTCGGTATTAACACAATATTTTTATAATAAATAAATGCACCTTTTTTTCTGAATAAAAAGAGTATGAAACATTAAATTGCCATCAATTTTTTAAAATATTTGATAAAAATAGAATGGGGTTTTGTTTATTTATTTTTTGTTGAAACAAGAATTAATAGAAAAATTCTATGAATATTAATTAGTTAATTTATTCATCGTGTTTTTAAAATTGGCTTTCCCTTTTTATTTCATAGACAATAAAATTACAAAGGAAGAATATATTCTAAAAATCCTTCATACACTGAAGAAAATAATAAATTCAAAATAATAAATGAAATATTGCTATCACTGATAGAATAAACGATTTAAATATTCGAGATGTATCGCAACAAAAAGTATAGAATCTTAAAAATTAATTCACTAAACAATTTAATGCAAACAGACAAAAATAAAATGGAAAAGAAAAACAAAAGACAAAGAAAGATTAATGACGCTTTCTTCAAATTACGTACTTATCAAGTTTATCAACAAGGAGTTTTATTAGTATTATTGAATAACCATTTTGAAATTACCCTTCAAATACCTACAAAACGTTCAGTTGTAACTCATCAATATTTCAAAATAAACGAACTTAGAAGAGGAAATGATTCAATAAAAGTTGAAGAATACGTAGAACAAAGGTGCAAAGAAAAATATTTACAAGACATATCAAATGGTATACCAGAAAAGACTGCAAGAAGAAGATACGACACAAATAAAATCACAGAACAACTCCATCTTCTGATTGACCTTTCAACAGAGTTTGGTTATAGATTTGTATCAAAACGAACTTCAGGGAAAAAAAGGTGCTCAAATTGTTGAAACTATACAAAAGGTGATATCTCCAAATGTAACTATTTTACATAAAGAAATTCCAATAATTGGAGTACAAACCAATGACTATTTAACTCATCACTGTTTCGATTTAAAATGCGCTGTAATTCAGCGTTGTGATAGTTCTTTCCTTTCAAATTTGTCTGTCTAATGGCTTTCCTTTTAAGTGTGACTTTGTATTTTATGATTATTTTTTGTCAATTTCTCAAAATAAATAACTCTGTTTTCATTTTCTATTTTCCTTTCTTCCATTGAAAAAAAGCATAGAAGAGATAGGCACATCCATTTTAATTTTAATAAAAAGTAATGTTTTGACTTTAATTTAGTTTTGATTTTTTATATTGTTATTTTGTTTTATAAAACACAAAAATATTAGATTTTGCGTTTTATAAAAATAACTCAGTAATATAACCCATAAATCCAGATAATAGCACCGTTTATATTATGTTAATACATATTGTTCTGATTATTTTTCATGTTTTAACAAAACTGAAAATAGATGATTTATATTTATAAATCTTTTTCTTTTAATCACAATGAGGTTCTGTTTTTAACTTAATATATCAAATAATAATACAACTAATTGTTCTCATTCAATGTATTTCAGAATTTTTTACATTAAATAGTTGTTTGTAGTAAACACAATGAATATTGTGTTATTGATATAAATCAAATACTTGTTAGATATATTCTGAAATAATAAAATGATAATAAACATAAATAAGTTACTCTTGATTAGTTGTATAATGCAACGAAATATTAATTATCTAAAAATAAAATTAACTCGAAATTTCAATAACATATTAAAATGAAAATATATTCCATTTTCGGTGTTTACTAAATAAAATAATTATTTCAATCCGTCCTTGGTGAGACAAAAAGTATAAAACTTCTTTCTTTTGAAACTTTGTAGGATAATGATATTAAAATAAAGGTAAATAATATCTAATTAATTGTCTATTCTATAATAAATAACATTCCTCCCTTTTGTTTTTATTGTTTTTATCTACTATTTATCCAGAATATTATTAAATTGGATGAATAAAATTTATATATAAATAGAATTATCTATGATGAACATTCTGGAAGAGAAATGGGTTGAATTTTAGATAGTATAAACATAAAAGTCCTAGTACGCTAACATCGATTATTCTTAAAAAGTATATTTGGTATTGTATTATATTTTTAGAATTATAATTCATGTTTTATTTAAAATCCTTGTTTTAGTTAAAATCCTTTTTTATGCAAATAGCAATTTATTTCACAAATGCCGTTGGTATTTTATAACAGAAAATCAATGGCATAAACACTGTTTTATTGAAAATTTGAACTTATACTAACTATCATTATTTCTAAAACTTTGACTAAATTATTTATTACTATTGTTATAAAATAGTGAATAAACTAGTGACTTTTCATTGATTAATAATCAAAGAAGAATTATTTCTGATGTATAAAGAAAATAACTGTAATAGGCAAACTTTGTACATGCCCTTTTCAAATTATTTTGAATGTTCAATTAAAATTCTTTTAAAGAAAGAAATCTTTATGAGAATAAGAGAATGAAGATAAAACAAGAAATAACCGAACAGAATAATAATACTTCAAAAATAATTTTTTTTTTGAAAGAAGAAAAAATAGTTCAAGGTACTTTGTGAACATTACCAATACGAACAAGAAATAGGAGTAAATATAAAATCACCTGACTGGTGTATTACCATGCAACTATTCTATTCATTTTCTTTTCTGCTTTTTTCCTCCTTTTCAGAGATTCGAAGGCAATTTCTTTTAAAGTTTTTTGTATAACATCAAAATAGTTAAGAGATTCATTTCTTTGTTGTTTTTTTTTGATCGAAAAATTAGCTTTATCAAACGAAACATTATGAGAATAATGACTTCTTTTCATTTGCAACTTTTTATTCTTTTAATTCTTATATACTCATAAGAATAATACCCTTTCATTTTATTGTAATTGATGCACAAAACTTTTTAGGAATTTTGTTTGAAGATATATTTTAATAATATTTCTTTTGTTAAATCTTATTTCAGTCTAAGAAATACATCTTATAATCAAAATCAATTTTAATATCATAAAGTCCAAAGGAATAATTTCATTATTATTAAATAACATTAATGATAAAAAAAATAGTAAATTAAGCAGTAATAATTGTTGGATAAGTCTCTTCTCCAATTGAGGTATATTTTGATTTCTTTTTTATTAAGCACAAAACACAAATAATAGTAACAAGAATAAGGCATATAAGAATAAATAAAATAGAAGTAATACTTACAGTAAGTATTATTTTTGATGATGGTGATGAGTTATCTAATTTTTGGTTATGTACTTGAAGAATAAATGTACGAGCATTTGAACTTACTGAAGTAAAACCTATTCTAAATAAAAATGGATTAACAGAGTCTGAAGTATTAAAACTGTATTTAATTCCACTTGAAGAAATACATGGAAGAGATTGAATTTTGTAATCAGAAGATAAAAGGCCAAAAGTAATATTAGTGTCTGAAGAAGAACATAAATCAACAAAGTATTGATAATTTGGTTGAGGATTAATTTGATAGTTATACCCAAAAATTTCAGTTGAATCAGGAAGTGATGAAGGTGGAACAGTTTCATATCTAATATATGGATATACGTTAATTTCTTCAATTGAAGTAGGAAGGAAGAATGTTTGATTAAATATAACTTTAATAACTGTAATAGATGGGCTAATAAAAGAAATAAGGAATTGTGTATTATCTTGTTCACTATCAAATTCAATATATTGACCAGTAAATGTTTTATTAAAAGAAATTGAAGAACATTGAATTTTGGTTGTAATAGGTAATGTTGAAGTAATATTAATTCCATATTTCCAATGTTCTTTAACAGTTAAAAGAACAAAAGATTGGTAAATACCATTTTCATCTTTCATTGAAAGAGTAGTATCTATTGACTTTGGAAAAGGATCAGTTACTTTGATTGGATTATTTATTGTACCTTGTGAGATTGGATAAAAGAAAATAGTATTGTATGGTGTATTAAAAGAAACATAAACTAATTGATGATGTCCTGCAGAAAGAACAAGAAAAGCCTCTTTATTATCTGCTTGACACACAGATGAACAATCAGTATAATATTGCATTGTAATATCTTCAGAAGCAATTATTTGGAAAGAAAGAGTAAAGTCATAGTGATTAGCAATATCAATCCACATTCCATTTCCTTGAGTTTGACCATTACAATTTATATTTTGTGAACTAAACTGTTCAGGGGTTAATGTTATTGAGCTTTCTACACTTGATAATGGTGAAAAGTAATAAGGTGAGACACAACTTGTCTTCTCAGACTGAGAAAGTACAATAGATAATAATAAAAGTATTAAACAAGTCATTAAGATATAATAATTCAGATTTCTTTTTTTTTTCTTCATTTAAACAAAGAAGTTCAAAGAACATCTTTTTTATGTTTTTAGCTTCTTCTAATTTCCAAATCCTTCGTAGATCTTTTTTTTTTATTTTTTTTTAATAATAATTGTTTTTTTCCTACAAATAAAAAAAATTTATAAAATGATTTATTGTAAATTCGCAATAATTTTTACTAATTATAACTACAAAAAATGATTCAAAACAACTATTAACCTTTTTAAATTAAAAGAAGTTCTGTGAATAAATAAACAAATATCTCTTAAAAAGTAACACTAATTAATTATGAATTGTATATACCATTTTCTTTGTCTTTATTATTCTTTAGAATGAAATAAAGTTTAATATATATTTAAAATAATACAAATATAATTTATATTTTATAGTTTCTAAATTATTTTTTTTTTTTGAAAGTTTTGTAATTAATATTTATTTAGATAAAAATTATTATAATTAAAACTATAATTATACTATTATTTTATTATTATTTATTAATACTTTTCTCTTTTTTTTTTATTATTTTTTTTCTTTTTTTAGTTTTAAATTAGTTGTAATAAATGTTTCTTATTAATTACTACTTTCAAAAAAAAGAATCAGCTGAATTAAATAAGAGAAAATAATAATAAGTGAATATTGTCAGAAGAAAGGAAGAACTGGAAGATGATAAGAAAATGAAATGAAAGGGTATATATCTCTATCTCCAGAATAAAATTGATGAGATAAAAATGATGAAATAAAAGAAAATATTAAAGAAAACTAACAAAATAAAAGCAATATAAACAAAAGAAATTATACAAAATAAAAATCATAATAATAAAGAAGGAAGTAAATATAAAAAACATAAAATAAAAGAATTAAATTTCATTTATAATAAAAAACATAATTAAAGAAGAAAATAAATTATTATATTTATAAATATTGTTTTTTTTTTTTAAATTTTAAATTGTTTATAACAAAAACTAATACCAACTGAATTATATACTTAGTGAAACATAAAGTATTATTACTGATGATTAAAGAAAATAAAGTTGTTCAATACCTTAATTTTTTAATTAGATATATTAATTTTTCATATTTGAAATATCTTAAAATGACTCAAAAATAATTTTAATAAAACAATGTTATATGAATGAAGAAAAATAATATAAACCCTTAAATTTTATTTACGACATTTGATATATTAATCATTTTTATCTTTAGGATTTAAAGAAAGAGTAGCAAAACGATGAGAAATTGTATCTATGTTAACTTTTTCATTTGGATCAATATGAAATCCTACATTTTTGATTTCAACATGTTGTTTTACTGATTTTTTTGGAATACTTTCATCTTCATCACTACAAACATAAAAAATACAAGAAACAAGAATAGTAATGATTAACATTAAAACCTATTAATGTCAATAACGTACATTAAACATTTAAAGAAATGAAAAAAATCAAACAAGAAGACCAACAGGAATCATCCATAATGCTATATGCATTGTTTAACTGACATTTTGAGATGAGACTTGAACCAAAACAAAAACCAAAAGAAACCCAAAAGTATTATTATAAGTTGTTACAAATAGCCATGTTAAACAAATCAGGAAGATAATACTGGATTACTATTGGTGATACCACTTTACAAAGTGCTGCTAGAATAAATCCTCCAATATAATATGAGAAAAACTCTACGGCATAAATCATTCTTTGATGATTCATTTCTGGAGTAAATTCTAATGGGTCATGATGACAATGAAAACGTATTTTATTAGCATTAGAACTATACCAATCTAATAATTTATGACATTTAATAAAAAGACTATATAATCCAAGATGTATAAAATATCCAGTACCTGATATTACAAAACCAATACAAAATGCTTTTAATAATAAGAATGGGTAATGAATTGTACATGAATATGGTGGCATGTTTTTAACTACTTTATGTCTTTCAAATACTTCCATAACATAATTCATAAAAACAAATCCAAAACCTACAACTGATCTCCAATAACATGGAGTATATTGAGAAAAACATAATGAATGTAATGAAAGTAAAATAACTTGTGTAAAGAAAAAGAATGGAATAAAATACCATTCTCGAGGAATATCTGGAAATACAATATAAAATCCAATTGAAACAAATCCTAATAATGCTCCAACAATCACATCTGCTGGTGAATGAACCCCCATATAAATTCTACTTAGAGCTACTATAATCACATAAATAGTTATTAAAATACATACCCACCATACTGGTTTAAGATACATTATTAAAAAGATCCCATTTGCTACTGCATTCATTGTATGAGTTGATGGTAAACCAAAATCTAATTCTTTTAATGGCTGCCATACTCCTGAAGGTCTTGGACAAGCAAATAGATTTTTCATAAAGTTTCCAATATATGTAGTAATAGCAATTAATAATATTAATGCATTACTTATATAAATTGAATCTTCTGATGGATGTAACCACCATGCAGTTGGTACAAACGCAATGTATACACCTACTCCAGCTAAATGAGTCATTACATAAAAAAATAAGTCTAAAAACTTATTCTTTTTCTTTTGTAACTTTTGAACTCCAGGCATTGACTTAGTAACAGTTCGATATAAGAAATTACGTAAGTTAGTAAAGGCAATTATCATTCTACATTTTCTAAGTTCTTTCTATAAAGAGATTTTTTTGTCTTAAAAAATACTTCATTTTTGTTGGAAAATATAGGAATTTTGGGTTGTACAATTCAACAGCAGAAGATCCAATCTCTAAGTCATACAACAGCAATTTAAACAGAACAAAGAGGAAAAAATTTGGTTCAACCAAAAGTTCATTTTTTAATAACAATTTTTTATAAAAATTATTTTTTTGTTTTTTTGAAGTTTTTAATTAAATCAAAAAACAAGTCAATAAAAAAGAGATTATGTCATTATGGTTGCACAACTTTAAAATAGAATTTACAAGTAGCATAGACACCAAGTACTAAAAATCCAACTATAAGTACTGTATAAAAGATAATATTTACTTTTTTTCGACACATAGCACGTTGAAGAGAGGCATCACTAATATCTAATTTATCTTCCATACTCTGTATTTTTACTGAAGCCTGACGTAATGAGTCATTTGCTTTACGCATATTCTGAAGAATGTCAATGGCAATTTCAGCTGTTTGATTAGACATAGAAATGCTATTGTTAAGAGAATCATCAATTGTCTGATTTAATGTGGTCATTTTTGTATTGTTTCACAAAATGGTATTTTTTTCATAAGAAAATAAAAAAAGAATTTAAGTTATATACTATTTTAATAGTTCTAATTGTATTACTTCAATACTTTTGTTTAGAAAAGATTGTCTATACTTTAAAATAAATACAATGTACAAATAATGTTTATAGTTGTTATTAAATAATATATTAAAATTATTTAAACATAGTTGTGTTGAAGACTTTAAACTCCTAAAGAAAAAGAAAAAACATAATTTTTATTTGTTTAGAATTTTATTTTATGAGGTTTAAATAAGTTTTAATATTAGAATAAATGTAAATTGAGTGATTAGTTTTTGTCTTGATTTTGTCAGTTGTTTCTTAAAAGCAAAAGATGAAAAATTTATTCTTCATAATTTTATCCCTCTTAAATTTTATTTTTTTAAACTAAAACTTAAAATAAATTATGTATTTATTATTTTCTCTTATACAACTAATAAAAGGGATATTTTTAATTTATTCTTGTAAGTAGATAAGATATAATTAATGCCATAACTAAGAACAATACAGTTAATAATAGTTATGCTATAGCAATCATTCAAATTATTAAAAAAGATTATTATAAAAAAAGAATATAAATTTTTTTATTACAAAGAATTTGAAAATGAATGTTTTCTTTAGTTAAAAGATAAGAACAAATAGATTTAAGTTGGTGAGAGAACAAAATCAGATATTGACTCAGATTCACTATTTGACCAAACTGAGAGTGGTTCCTTTTTTTCTCGAACATAATCTTTCCCTGAAATAATTATAGCAGTCATTAGTCCATTGTTGATTAATAACCCCGCAGCACAATTTTTTAATCCACAATAATGACTAGAACTAAATACAGTTACAACACGAGCTTTTTGTCGTAAACCTATCCCCATTTCTTCAGATTGGTGTGCTCGAATAATATAACGACAACCAGAATTTTTTAAAAACTTCTCTACAGCATCAGCTCCAAAAATGTAAGTTCCTTTTCCTCGTTTATTTGGTCCAAACCCAACATCATCTCCTTTTTTATTTAGCATAAACTCTTCGCTTGAGTCAGCAGGATCACACCATAACAACTCACTAATTAATGGGTCTTCACAACTACATGGTCTTTGGAATGAGTCTATAATTTCAAGTGCATTTAATGTTTCTGAACATAACTCTCTAGCTATTCCTCCATGAACACAAAAAAGTTTGTTATCAATAACACCACAAAAAGGAAGGTATTGGAAAATAATGTTGAATTGATTCCATAATGAATATCCATCTTTCTTTTGGAATGTATTATAACACTGAGCAAGAAAAGACATTCTGCCATATACTTGTGTTGACCCATTGACCTGGCTTCCTTCATGGTTTCCTCTTAAAAGATATACCGTGTCTGGTGCAATAATTTTTAATGCCAACAACAAACAAATTACTTCTATTTGATGAGTTCCTCTATCAACATAATCACCAAGAAACAAATACTTGCAAGTACAAATTGATGTTGCTGGAAGTAATCTAAACAATTGACAAAGAGCTGAAACGTCACGATAATTTCCATGCAAATCCCCAACGACATAACACGGGGGTTGGATACGAATAACATTATTATCTTTTAACAACACATTTTTTGCTGCTTCTAATAATCTTCTTACAACCATTGGAGTTAATAAACAGACACCATTTTTCCATTGATGAGATTCTTCTCCATAGCCATGCCTATAACCATGATGAGGTCTAAAGTTATTTCTCAATGAATGAAGAACATAAGAAGCTATTTTAACTGATTCATCAAGTGTGTCTGTAATTTCTATAGGATAAATAGCATTATCTTCTTCATTAAATACGAATTTACTGTATCTTCCTTGTTGAATATTAATAAGGTTTGAGTTAAATTCAAAGCAATTTTTATCAAAATAGTATTTTTTTGATGTTTGCATTGTAGGAGTATCATCAAGATATTTAGAGAACATTAAAAATGTGTTAATACTAAGACATATATTTCTTGAGAAGAAACCAACAAATAAAGGACAACATACGAGTTTAAACATTTCTTTGTTGTAATATATTTTAAAAACTGTGCATGTGACTGGTTCTTTTCTAGAAATTAGACATAATGGAAATGGATGAGCTAACTCAACAAACCAGCCTCTGATAGTAGTAACTGCATAATTAACTATTGTACAATTTTCTCCATCAAAATTGTGTAATTGAAGACTTGTTTTTCTCTCCATTTCACAAATTTTCTTTTACTAACACTATTTAAACATGTTTGTCTTTTCATCTATAATAGAGTTCCTCAATATCAACTTTTTTGGTTTAATATTGTTGATGTAGAAGACCAAAACTAAAAGTCTGGTGAAATAAAAAGATGAAAAAGGAAAAAAAATCTTCAAAAATATAAAAGATTTATATTTTAAGATGACAAGACAATATGATTCAAGATACCAATATCCTCCAAGAGCCCCACAACTTTATCAACAACGACCACCTCAACAAAGCTCTACTGAAACAACTGAATCTTCACTCCCAATAAATGCTAACTCAAAATCTGTTCATGTATCTGGAATTCATGAGAGTGTGGATGAAATATTATTAGGAAGAATTTTTTCAATTGTTGGACATGTTGTTTCTTGTAAAATAATGAGAGATAAGTCTGGAGTACATGCTGGTTATGGTTTTGTAGAGTTTGTTGATTCTACAACTGCTAGATTTGCAAAAGATAATATGGATGGAAGAGTTGTTTATGGAAGAGAATTAAAAGTTAATTGGTCATACACAGCACAACAAGAAAACCAAGGAAATTATAAAATATTTGTTGGAGGTCTTCAACCAGAAGTGAATGATGATCTACTTTATAAAACATTTCAAAAATTTGGTCGTGTAACAGATGCACGAGTATTAAAATTTACACAAACGGGGAAGTCTAAAGGGTATGGGTTTGTTACTTTTATTAGAAAAGAAGATGCAGAAACTGCAATGCAAATGATGAATGGAGAAAAATTAGAAGGAAGAAATATTAAAGTGAATTGGGTTACATCAAACATAGCAAGTAAAACAGAACAACCAAAACGGAGTTATGATGAAATTAATAATGAAACGAGTAGTCAAAATTGTACTGTGTATATTGGTAATATTCCAAAAAATGTAGAATCTGATGATTTAAAACAATTATTAGCTGAATATGGGTCAATAGAAGAAGTCAGATTAAATAAAGATAAAGGATATGCATTTATTAAATTTTCAAAACATGAATCAGCAACTTCTGCTATTTTAATGTGTAATGGTAAAATAATAAATGGATCAACGTTGCGTTGTAGTTGGGGAAGAGAAAGTCATTGAGTTTAACTAATTTTAAAATTCAAATGATTGATTGTATCAAAAGTTAATTTCCTCTTCATTTTTGTTATAAACAACAATTTTAGAGAAAAAAAGAAATTTTAGAAATTTAGAACTTTCTAAAAGATTATTACATTAAAAAATATAAAAAAAAAAGAGAAATTATTTGTTTAACTCATTTTGATTACAATAACTTTTTTACAATAACCCCTCTCAGAATTATTTCTATCAGTAATTGGATTAATCATTTTTTGGGGCAAAATGTAACGGTCTTTTAAAAGTTGATGAATTCTAAGTTGTCCATCTAATGTAACCCAAAATGCGCAAAAACAAGTAAAAAGAAAATAACTTTCTTTGTCTGAATAAACAGTAAAACTCCTCAGTGTATCTTTACGTTCTAATTTAAATGGATAAGCACCTTTTCCATTTAAAACAAATAAAAACATTTCGTTAGAAGTGACTTGAGTAGTTTCATTATTTAATGCATTAACAATATCAGAAGTATAAAAACCAAATTGTTCATTGTTTGTAATAATAATAAATACCAAATTTGATTGGTATCTGATTTTACTATTTAATGCCCTTGTTTCAAAACCATCAACATCACTATTATAAATTATTTCCATCTTCTTATAATGTGTATATTTTTTAAGAAATTCTAGCTTTTCAAAAATAGAAACCTCCCTTGGTTCTAATGGAGTCAATGGTGGTTCCATTTTATTTTGAGGATTCATTAGTTTTGGAGAAGGTAAAGTATGGTGATACTCTTGCAGAATAACATAACTTTTGTGGTTTAGGATATTTTTCAATTTGAGGATTACAAGAATTAAGTGGATAGGGTGAAATACTATTCCTTTTATTCATTTTAGACATTAGTGAAGGTGGAGATTGTTTTTGCTTAGTTGGAAGATGACAAGACTGTGTTCTATCAATTTCTTCATCTAAGTCTATTACATCATTAGGTTCAGGTGTAAATAAATTTGTTGGATCGATATCATATTCAACACTTGGACTATTCTGTGGTTTTTCTTCTTTAGAAGTTTTTGGTACTTTTTTTATTTTCCTTGAACCTGGTTTTGGAGAAAGACTTCCACTACGTGGTAATGATGGATCAAATCTTTTGCTACTCGAACTTCCCATTACAGGTACTACATTTCAAAGTTCTTGCTAACTTAATAAGATATTATTTTTTATTCTGTCTTTTTCGTTTGAAACAATTTATTCCTTTTTACAAGTTATTTCTATCATTCTTTAAACAAGTATTAAAAAAATTAAATTGTATTATCTATTTTTTAAGAAATAATATGATTTGAACGAATGTTTCTATTTCCTTGTTTATAAGTGTCGAAAAAATTAGAAAACCATTTTTTTTTATAATACAATCAAAATAATAAATAAATAATACCAAAAATATTTATAAATATAGAATTGTTTTCTTTTCTTGCATTGTGAACAACAATAACTCATTGTAAGTTCATTCTGACTTCCTAACAAGATAAAGATTTCATACCATTATACTCATAAAATAAGGGATTTATGAAATTTTTAAGAAGAAGTTTGAGGTTAGACTAGACAAATATAAACTTATGAATGGATGAACGATTTATAAATCATAATAAGGAACAAAGAAAACAAAATCAGAGAATAGTTCGAGGGTTTGTGATTAACAAGAATAAATTAAAAGAAAACGTAACAACAAAACATTAGTTACATTCACTCCTTGAAGGAAAAATTTATGAATTAAACAGAAGTAAATTTTTCTTTAACAGAATGTTCTTATTTTAGAATCTGAGTAGTTTTTTTAAGATACTCTATAGAATGAAAGAATAAAATCAGTGTTAAAACAGAAGTTAAATCAAAAGTGTTAAAGGAAGATTTTTTTTTATCCAAAATCATGAATAAAACAATAAAATTAAAAGCAGAATTATTAATTTCGTCTTTAATCGTAGTTATTTTTATTAAATAACTACTAAACAGTTATTTAATTGTCAAAATATATTCGAAATTTTGATAAACCTAATAAGAATTAATATATTTTTTAATTAGATAAATACAAAGAATCAAACATAATTTGATTATTAGCAAATCTTTTTTGAATTGACCAACCATTTTAAAATAATATTTTTTTTTAAAATATAAAAAAAAGGAATTGATAAAAATATGTTTCTGCTCTGAATCTACTAAATTTTTTTATTATAATTTATAAAAATAAAATAAAAAATAGTTAATTAGATGTACAGAAAAATTTTTTTTCTATCTTTTTTGCTCACATCATACTAACCCCTTCTATGAGTTTAAGACTTTTTATTCATCAACTTTTCTTTTATTCTTTTAGTTTTTTGTCTTGTTGAAAGATGTGAATTTCTACTCTTTGCTCATTTATTTCTTTTAAATTTATATTTTTTAAACATCACCAAGTTAATTATTCCTCTTGTAAGTAACTACATTGTCTTTATTTGAATTGTAATGTGTATTAAAACTCTTTACTTTTTAATTTCTTATTTTATGATGAATATATCCTTACTACCATATTATTATGACTAATTTCTTTTATCAACAACATGTAAATCATATTGTTTTGACAATACCAATACTATCAAATCTACTTGTGTGTTAACAAGTAAATAATAACTGTAATATTTATAAATATACACTTTTCTTTTATACTAAATGATATTTCATCATCATAAATAATAATCATTTTCAATATTGAATTTGTGAGTAAGTTGTTTGTTTCATAACTAAAGGTAACACTATAACCAGGGTATAACTCAAGGTTCAGTACTTTGATATATTTTAATGTTAGTAAAGTGTCTCTAACTTAACATATTCAAATATAATTTTTATAATAATAAAAAGTTATAAGAAAAAAAGAAAAAACTTACTTTTGATTAGATAAGATAATCAAGAATTATATAAGAAAGAAAATTATATCTTCTCAATTATTTTCTGACCCGTCTTCTTTCTTTTCCTTTTTATCAAAAGGAATTCCTCCTTCAGCCCAACTGTACATACAATTAGTACATTGGTAATTAATTTGTAATGAACAGTTATAATTCCAATGAGCAGAATAATAATATACAGCATCATGTTGTTGACCACAATGAGGACAAAGCTTTGTTGTTTTAGGATATGTTGGATCTTTACTCACATCTGCAGCAACTGTTGTTGCTTTTGTTTCACTAAAGTTTTTGATATATACACAGAAACTTGTTGGGTCTTCAGCTTTTTCAAAATGTCCACAATTTGGTCTTCTGCAAACAAAATATAAATCATCTCCACAACTTCTTGGAAGCATTATTTGATGACAGTCGGGACAAAAATGAGGTTTAACTGCATTAATCGTTGTCATTCAACAAATAATAAAATTTTTCAGTGTATTTATTTTTTTGTTTTTTTTTTATGAAAAATATATGTTTTTTATTTTGTTTTCGAATATATTATTTTTTTTGTTATTTAGAAGGTGGTGGTAAATAATTCCAGAAAAAGTTTGTTTGACACTTTGAAGAAGGAAAAAGAAATAGTGTGTCAAAGTTGTTCTAAAAAGAAACAACAGTAAAGTGGGATAAAACAAAGAAAAGTACACCAAATGAGTTGACTAGAATGAAATAAATGAAGAGACACCAAGAACGAAAAATCATCTTTTGAGAGAAAAGATATGAAAAAGTATTTTTTATTGTTCTAAGAGAACTCAAAACTCTTTGTTATTAATTTGATACAATCAATGAGCACACCAAACTCCTTACCACCAAAACCACTCCATTTGGCACCTCAACCTCGTAGACCAAATAAAGCTGCACCTGTACCAAAGAAAAAACATGTCCATCAACAACCACCAACCTTAAAAGATGTTTTTGATGATGACATGACATTAGTTATAGATGATAGACCATCGATCAGAAGAAAACCAACATCTTCAGCTGGTGATTTACTTTCTCCAAACTCTGGAAATTCTCCATGTAAATCAACAGCTAGTACTCCTAGGTCTGAAAATGTTTTATTTAATTCTTCTTTGGAAAGAGGTAGTGAGTCTAGTTCATTAATATCTCCTCGTGGTATTTCTCAAACAACATTAATAAATGGAAGGCACTCTTCCCATGAAGATCTACCTGAACATACTAGTGTTGTTCCATCTAGAGCAGCTCCACGTCCTGTAAAACATTTAGTTCAACAAACAACAACTGCTAAATCATTTTCACCATCAATAGGTTTGCCTTCAAGTATTATAGATGAACCACCATATTCTCCAAAGGATTCAGGTAATTGTATGTCTTTTGCACAACCACCACCATCAAAACTTAAGGTTGGTTCAAACCAACAAACATGTGCTGCTCCAATACCACCATCAATTTCTAAAACACAAATAATTATGTCAAGTACAATGGCTGCTTCATCACCAAATTCTTGTGCATCACCAAAAAGTACTGGATCAGTTAGTAGTCTTTCACAACTCAATGCTATTACTCCTCCTTCTGATTCTTCTCCATCAGTTAATGTTGCTTCTCCACCACCAGTTTCACCTCGTTCAAATGCTTATATTGTAACTGCTCCAATGTCTCCCTCTCCAAAAGGAACAGTCCTTATTGCAGCACCACCACCATCATGTACTAAACCTACTGTTTCAATTGCAGCACCACCACCTCCTATGAACAAATCAAGTGTTACTGTTGCAGCACCACCACCTCCTATGCATAAAGTAAGTATTGCTCTTGCAGTACCACCACCAATAAGTAGTTCAACATCAGTATCACAATCTACATCTTTAAATACATCTACTTTGATTAGTACATCACCATCAAATAAAACGACTAATCAAGTTAAAATAGAAAACAATAACATACAAACAAATAATAAAATTGTAACACGACCAGCTCGAGATATTTCTCTTAATGATAATTGTTATCATATTACTCCAATGGAAAAATTTAATACACAACTACCACATAAATTTATTAAAAAACCATTTAAAATACCAACAATTAATATATTAATTAAAGGTGATGAAAACGACGAAAAAGTTATTGAATTACTTGATAAATTAGGTGAAATTAATACGATTCAAGAAACACAACAACAAGAAATTGAAGAATTTGGATTAGAACCAATATCGTATACTGAATTTGATACTTTAATATGTGTTAAAGGAAACTCAACAGAATTATCAAGCACATGTTGTATTGGTGATTCAATGCTTGTTAGTTATTAAAAGTCATTGAACAAAGTTATATGTTTTATTTTATAAAACAAATCTTTACATTTTATTAATTCGGCTTCTTTTTTTCAATATTTGGTTTTTTATTAAAGTATTATTTAAATGTAATAACAAAATATTTAACAAAAAATAAATTTATTAATTAAAACATGGAATTTACATAACTTTTGAGGTGAATATTCCTTGTGGAATATGAGAAGACAATGCCTTTAAAAGAGATATTTGACTGTCAAAAAGTAAATACAATTGTAATGAAATGCTTGATACTTTTTTAAATTAAGCATTAAGAATAGTACCAAATTGCATAAAATGATAAATATTTTTTTTCTTTTATATAAATTATTGAAGCTCTTTTAACAAATAGAACATTTTCTTCTTCTTCTTTTTTAGAACTACATGACCATTCTTCTGATAATTGAGTCTGTTTTTAATTAATTTATTTCATTTGACAAATTCTTTTGATGATATGGTTTTTTTAATGATTTATTATTTGAGTAGAGTCATAATAAATGTTATCAATTATAAGTAGAATATTACACATTTAAATATTTATTAATTTTCCTTTTAAATCACAAAATCATACTCATTTGGCAACGAAAAAAAGCAAATAATTGAAAAAGAAGAGAATGAATGATATAAAAGAATAAAAAGAAAGTAAGAAGTTGGATAAGATGAAGAAAGAATAAAAGTAGAAAGGAGAGAATATAAAAATAAAGAAGATAAAGTGTAATAAAACAAAAGAGATGATAAAAGAAGAAAAGAATGAAAAATAAAGGATGCAAATTTTATTGAAACAAATAAAAAAAGCGCAAAATTTAATGATGCAAAATATTTAGCAACATTTTTATGGATGCAAAATATTTTGAAATAAAAATAAATCATCATTTGATATTATTATTATATTTGATAATAAATTATATTATATATTAAATACATCATATTTCTTTATTATTTATCTTTCTTTTCTTTTTATTATTTCATATATTACATTATTATTCATTCATTTATTATTTATATTTCATTTATTAAATAAAATGAAAATGAAATTGTAAAATATCAATTAAATATTCATGAATAATAATTTATTAATATTTAATAATTGAAATAACAAATAATAAAGTAACAATAATGATATATTCAATATATTCTTTATTTGATTTGTTCAATATTAGATTATTCTATTTCATTATCATTTCATTGTCTTCATTATTTTATTTCATTTATTATTTCATATTCATTTATTATTTTTTTAAATCAAATAAACAATAATATTGATATTCATTCATCATATTCATTTAATATAATAAATATACACAACATTTCAGAATAAATAATGAATATTT